CCCATTGTACACTTGTTTCTAATACTTACTATTTCTAGTTACCAATTAATTGAAATAACTGAGGCCACACTTTGTGGCTAGTGAACATTTCATATCTTTTTAATGTTCATCTGTCAACTCTGCCCAATTTCTTGTGTTTTTAAGTTGATAACTTATTTTCAGTTGAATGGTCCTAGGATGCCCTCCAGTACAGGCTTGTATTTGAAAAGTACCATAAGTGTATAGTAATTAATAATAGACTTCTTTCTATGTGAGGCAGTGTGGTATAGTGGATAGAGAGTCTTAAAGTCAAGACCTGTGTTCAAGCCTGTGTAACCCTAGAAAAATCACTTAATATCTCAGTGTCCCAGGCAACTCTCTGAGATTATAAATTGCCTAACAGATAGTGATCTGTCTTGGGAGAGTGGACGTCCTCACTGGCAATTCCTGATAACAAATGTCCATATCCTTCTTCCCTTCATCAAAAAATAAAGTTCTTCCCATCATTAAAGGCAAGGACATTGTATCACAATATAACATGGTGACAAAGTCTGGGATTTTAAATTATGGATGACATTTCTGGTTCTTTCATACAGCTACAAGCAAAAAGTCAAAAGTTTTCCTCTCTGTTGTTTAAATAGATAAGAAACTTACCTTAAAAAAAGGATTTGTTCTAGGAAGTTTGGATTCAGTCAAAGGGCCTCACTTGAGGACCCAGAGGGCCACATGTGACCTCAAGTTTCCCCACCCCTGGATGTGATTATTCCCCACCAAAGGTCTGTGAACTTTGGGTGGGAATGGCTATGCCATTCTTCTAAGAAGGTCAAAACCTTTCATACGAACTATTTGTCTCCACAGCATCCTCATGAGACAGACTGGTGTTTCACCACTGCCCAGAGGCTGTGACAAAATATGTACCTTTCCTAGAATGATGCTAATAGAAAGGGTCCTGTTAAAGTTATACTCATCACAGTGTTATGAACATTATTGAGATTAGATGTGTTAAGTGCTTTGAGCAGGAAGATTGCCTGTGGAAAGTCATTTTACACCCTTGTGCATCCAGGTTCTTGAAGCATTTCAAACATTTTTTGGGGGGGAAACATGTGCAAATTGCTTGAATGCATCAGCTTATTCTTGTGTTCTTTCTCCATGCCTTGAAGAAACACATGTATTTTTTTCCCACACCCACTCCAAGCCTTCTGTATACCCAGCAAATTTTCTGAGATATAAAACTAAATGAAATATGTCCATTTCACTTGTTTGGAAAAGATTACCACTAATTACTGTGGAGAAAAATCTCAATGGAGTGGGAAACTGGGTTATTCCATTTGGGCATAATAGAAAGAACACTGAGCTTGAGGTCAGTATGCCCTGCGTTCAAGTCTTGACTTTAGCACTTACTAGGAGTATGAATTTGGGGTGAGTCACTTGGGCATAATGATATTTGTACTACCACATGGATGCTATGAAAAAATAAGTTCTCCATAAGCTGTGAAACATTCATATAAATGTGAATTATTTATAATTATTCTTATTATGCTCTCCTTCTCCCTGGTTCCATGTCTTCTGGGACCTGTAATTAATTCAGTGTTTCCATTATTAGTGGAAAGGACATGTCAGTCAACTCTGTTATGGCTTCCCTCACCAACCCTCTGACCAAAACTCTCCTCCCATATTTTCTATCATCACACACTGTCCTAAATGTGCTCCACATCTCACATTTATATTTATGTCCACAGTACTTAGCACAGTGTTTGACACTTAGTAAGTGCTTAATAAATCTTTTTTACATTCATCCATTGTTATTATTTATCTAAGTTAACCACACTTAAGCGAAACCTTGCTGAATGGACCACAGAGCTATGGCATAGAAAAAACAATGCCTACATAAAAAGGCACAATTCACTGGGTGGCAACATACCCCAGTGGTAGGCAAAATGCCTAGGGGAAACAAAGCTCTTACTGCCAGCTCTGTAAATCCGAACTTAAACAGTGACAATACATACCACTGTTAGTTCATCCTAAAAGTGTATCCATATGGAACCATTTAACTTGTGAATATGTTGGGGATCTAAATATGAGGCCATGCATGAAAATTCCCCAGAGAATTTTTCTCCAGCCCTAATGACCTTCTCACCTCCAAGGCTTCCAGTTGTCCCAGTTGGAACCAATCTAATCCAAAATTTTCATCCTACTTCTTTCTTCCTCCTCCACCTTTCCCTGAGCATATGAAGTATAATATGACTAAACACAGTGATTAAGGCAAGGAAATTCATGAGACTTTGCATCATTTTTTTTTGTTTGAGACCAATGATCTAGCTAAATCTCTTCTATGTGATTAGAAACTCTCACCCTCCTTATAATTACTGTTCTGCTCCTACATTGGGGAGTAGGTGAAAAGGACAGAGGAGGGTAAATCACACAGTGTTGATTATATCTCCAACACCCCCCCTTTTTTTCATGTGAGATCTCATTAAAATTAAAATAAGAGAAACTTGAGAGGGGAAAAAAAGATGATTAAGAATAGCCAGATAAAGAATGTATATGGAAAGGGAGAGGCTAGCATCTTCAGTTTGAACTTGTGGTCCCAAGTTGTTGGGAAACAGTCATAGACACCATCCTTGAATATACCTGTGTACGTGAATATAATGCAGAATGATTTCCAGGTCTAGACTGAGCTTCTTGCTCACTGACCTCACCTTGGATATCTGTGCAAAGTCGCAGACATTCTCCACTTTGAACCATTTTCCTTTCCTCTCAGCCAGACTCCTAAAGCTATGTTGCCAAAGTCACCTAGTGAGACCTTCAGTATATAGTTACAATATTAAGTGTGTAAGGTTTCTTGTTACTAAGATTGAGGAATCTGAAAACACATTCTCACAACGAAATTTCCATTGATTTAGGGTCTTAAATGAAAGGCGTCTTTCCAACTACCTTTCTACTTCCCATTTCAGATTTTGTCACATTAGAATCTTTTTTCATGGGCTTTTGTGGTCACTTCTTACTAGGCATATCCAGTTAAGAATGTGAGAAGTGGCTTATTTATTCATTACCATTTCAAAATACTTGTAAAGTCTACCATGTGTGTGGTTAAAATGTTTTAAAATTTAAATGATTTTTGTTAGATAATCCCATTTTAAAGTGACATTATGATTTATCGCCATTAATTAGGTTTCTGGTCCTTCATATGCTTCTTGTTTGTATCTGTTTTTATTCTTTGTCACATAAATATTGTAGTTTACATATAGTGTTCTGACTTTGTGTAATATAGGGCTAATGAGTCACAGATGTAAAGATGCTGGCACATTACCATCTGATAAATTCATATTCCTCAGTAAAACAAAAGCAAATTGTACACATCTGTTTTCCAACTTGCAGCATTTCTATATTTGTGTACAATCTATGTTTAAAGGGTTTTTGCTTGAGGGAGAAAAAAATGAGAAGAGGTCACTCAGAAATCACTGAGCCTCATAACAGTCTTATCAGAAAGGATTTTGGCAAAGTGAATAAAGTTTCCTTTGCTTTGGTTCTATCCAAGCACTGCCTCAATAGATGAGAATCAAAGGCAACAGAGCAGAAATGCTACTATCTATCTATCTATGTATCTATCTATGTACCTATCTATGTATCTATCTATGTATCTATCTATGTATCTATCTACCTATCCATCCATCCATTCATCCACCTATCCATCTACCTATCTCTCTATCTCTCTATCTGTCTATTTATCTATCCATCCATCCATCTATCTATCTATCTATCTATCTATCTATCTATCTATCTATCTATC